CACAGCCACAGCCACAGCCACAACCAACAGCAATAACAGAAACAGCAACAGGAGCAGCCACAGCAGCACAGAGACCACAACAGCCGAAGTGGCAGGAGGAAGAAGCGACGACACGGCAACGACAGCGGCAATGGCAACAGCAAGCGGCAACCCACCCATCTTGAAGCCAGGCCTTCAGACACTTCCCCTCCCGCAACCCCTTTTTCTTCGTGAACATAGATTGAACAGGGCCCACTAATGTCATTCGTCCTTTTCCACGCTGATTCGTCCTGTGGTTCCTGTCACACTTATCCCCAAGTATGCCCGCTATCGTCAAGGCTTTGCAGATTCTTTCACTTCTCCCATTTGCAACTCGATGCGACCGCTATCGCTGGTTCAGTGCCGCCTATCAGACATGATGATGGCATCACCGGCTTGAATCTTGGAACAACCAGCAGGCCTTTTTCTACGCCCTCACGTCGCGAGGCTCAAACTGCCTCAGCTTCCAGGGAGTCTCGGATCCCTGCACCTGATTGAAGGAATGAGGAATTAGTTCAGGTATGAACCTTGGTCCTAGAAGCTGACTGGTGCTCTCCTGAGTGTATTGAAACTGGGCTCACTGACTACCCCTGGAGCAAGCCCCAGCTGTAAGAGGCTTGCAACCCTTCCGCGATGGCCCCTCAAAGAGTTCGGGTTTAGGGTTTAGGGTTGAAGGTATGATTCGACACGTTTGATCTATTTATGTGCTCTTCAGTGTTCGTGCGTCATATGACCATTGCTGGCCCTGCAAGCCTGCTGCCTACTCCTATCCTTCCCCCTGTCCCACCATTACCCGTACTGCTAGTGCTGCCATGCGACGGGGATTACAACAACTACTACCACCACCACCACCAACTACTAACTACTAACTACTAACTACTACCTACTAACTACTAACTACTACCTACTAACTACTAACTACAAACTACTAACTACTAACTACCACTACTACTACTACTACTACTACTACTACTACTACTACGACTACTACTACTACTACTACTACTACTACTACTACTACTGCTACTACTACTACTACTACTACGCTACTGCTACTGCCACTGCAACGACTTCGTCCTAGTAACCTCTACGCCGACGATGACTGCAAAGACTGCTGCGAATACAAAGGCGACGACCCCTGCTACTACGACCACACAAAACTGCGACAGTGTCTGCGGCTAGATGTCGCGTGCCTACAAGCTTCAGTACTGTGGGATTCGTGTCCCGGACAAACCCATTGGCAACCCGATGCTGCCTCAGCTTAAGGCGTCAGGACTGCTGCTGGATGTCGTCATGAGCATCCTTAACATGTTTCCGCGAAGAGTGTTCTATGAGGAAACAGTACATCTAGTGATCTCAACCAGAGCCAACGACATAAATAAAGGTGCAGGGCACAACACATACACAAGTTTAGCAACGCTATTCGCTGCAGCAAACCACGAGCTTACGCCTTTCAGTCTTCTAACCCGTTCTCGTAATACTAGCCCTAAACCCTGCTCGTGCAAGTTGCAAGGCAGCAACTGCCTCAACCTGAGGGAACCATAGACGAGGGTTCTCAAAAGCAACCCTTTAGAGCAACCCTCAAGACCCCCTATACGACCGAACCTGTCAATACCCCTAAACCCCGGACCATAAACCCTACGACGGGGGAGGAGACGCGGAAGTTCGTTGCTGCAGGCCACTCAGCCTGTACACTGCCTGAAAGGCCGCACATGCAGATCCACTGGATGAGGATTGAGGGCTTGCCGCTGGGAGCTTCGGGTTTAATTATGGTTTAATTCAGGATCTTGAGGTTGGGATTTAAGAGCCACGGTGAAACCTTCACTGGACCAGCATCCCAAATCTCTGGTCGGTGACGCACTTTGATGGCTTCGAAGCCGAATGCTTCTGACTGCGTTGGACGGTTGAGGGTGTAGGGCCTTCGGGATCTAGCGGCCGCGGGCTACGCAAGCCAGAACCCTTAGAAACCTTTCAGACAGAGTGCCTTCGCTCCCATCACTGTGCTATCAAGCTGATAAATGATGATGATGATGATGATGATGGCGATGATGATGATAGTGATGATGACGAGGATGATGATGATGATGGTGATGCTGATGCTGATGCTGATGACGATGATGACGATGATGACGATGATGATGATGGTCATGATGACGATGATGAGGATGATGATGATGGTGAAGATGATGATGATGATGATGATGATGACGATGCTGATGATGATGATGGTGATGATGGTGATGATGGTGATGATGGTGATGATGGTGATGATGATCGTAGCAAGGACTATAATAAGAACCGCGGTACTGCTGCAACTGCAAGATCCTTAGCAGCACACTCTCAAGGACCATGAGCATCCAGGCTTCAACATGCTGGGTGCCACATAGAGGGTTCAGGGTCCTCGGGATAACAGTGAGTTTAGGTCCAGTTTAGGTGCCAGAGATACTCTCATGCTCTAAACCCAACTCCAGCCACAAGTCTCCGCTCAAAGCTCATCGAAAAAAGCGTCAATGTCATCCGGCGCGAAGACCTGTCAAGACTGCCTTCAGTTGGAAATCGAATGCTACGACAAGACCTCTGAAGTACATTAACTGGCTGCACGATTCTGACATTGGGGGTCGTATGTGCGATTCAAGCCCGAACCCCATCCAAAGCAACTCGCCTGATGATGGTAGCTGTCTGGCATCCCAGAAACCTGTCAGCCAATGCATCATGAAAGGCTGGCTCTGATGCCGACAAAACGGGATCAAGAAAGGCGTCCGAGATAGTCGGGTGTGGGACCATACAGGCGAGACTGTTCGTGGAGCTCAAGACTATCAAATCCCCAGCATCTCTTCCACGTTGGTGGGCCGGGGTTCAGGGT